AGTGCTGTCAAGTTAAAACATGGAATTTGATGCAAATTGCACACTTTGTATAACTATCCAATATCCAATTTCTAGCCGAGATGGCAAGCTAAATACATTAAAAACGAATATTACTCAGAGAATGAGTCTCTTTTACTGATACAGAATACCCCTTTGTGGTGTGTGTTTTATTTGAATTGTAAAAAGTGAAAACCTACCTAACTACGAGTATAACTTAACCTAACGTGCTAGATCACGTATGATCTGATGATTAGATCTCAGACAGAAGTCTCTGAACCTTTCCAGTATAAATACTCTCCGTTCTTCTAGTGTCTGAATTCCAGCCAGGAGGTGGATCTCAGAATTTCTAGTCCGCGGGGGACTGTTTAGGACCATTCTAAGGATCTGTGATGGCATTTGGCGCAACTCAATCTGGGAGCATCCTGTATTCTATTACGGGAAGGATGATTTGTTTGTAGACAGCAAGCTTCTTTTCAGGAATAAAGTAGACCTGTTGGTGAGTGGATAAAGTGAACATATCAAGATGTTACACTTGGTTTTGGTTTTGTCAACGTGCTCCCTGTAAATCAGCTTGCTGTCTAGTGTTAATCCGAGGAAGACTATCTCTTTCGACCATTCCACCGCTGTGCCGTTCATGCAGATCTTATTATTCACGGACGGAACAAATCTAGGAGATTTTGAGTGTTGAAAGATGATGACCTGGGTCTTTGCCGCGTTGATACGGATCTTCCAGCTGTTGAAATATTCAGACAGGACGTCCAGGTCTCTCTGAAGTTTGGCAGTTAGAGATCCGACGATGGATGTGTCATCTGCGAACAGATACAACGATCCACCATCAGGGAGAGCCGGCATATCGGAGGTGAACAGGTTGAATAGGATGGGGCCAAGGATGCTTCCTTGTGGAACCCCGACACCGATGTTGAAAGCATCCGATGTGATACCATTCAGAGAGACTCGGAACGTCCGATAGATAGTTGTTAATTATCTCCACTAGGAAGATTGGAAGACCATACTGCTGCAATTTCAAAACACCAGGCCATCATGCCAGACTTTGTCGAACGCAGATGTTTTCGAAACAGACTTGTTCCGTCTGAGAATATGTGTTACGCGAGTCAGCTGGTGAACGGTCAAACGACCTTTCCGAAAACCAAACTGTTCCTCGAGTAACAAGCTATTTTCTTCGGCAGCCGGTGATAGATTGCTCTTTCGAACCGTTTTTATAACCCTGAGAGAAGGCTTATTGGTCGATAACTTGAAGGAGAGGACGGATCCTTCCCAGGTTTCCGGATGGGTATGACTTTAGCTGACTTCCAGCACGAGGGGAAGTAGCCATGTCGGAGGCACAGATTAAAAATCAGTTTCAGATGGTTGTAGAATGTGGAACTCAAGTGTTTGAGTTCCAGATTCAGGATGTTGTCGAAACTTGGGCCATCATGTTTTGAGATGATTTGATATAGGCCAACCGTTCGTCAGCCATAATCTCGGATTCCTCGAGAAAAAGATTGGGAATCTGATGGAGGTTGGTTGCGTTTTCAGCAACCTCAGCTTCGTGAGGGCTGACGATGTTTTGTCCGATATTATGGGAGCTGACGAAGTGTTGACCTATCACGGCAGCCTTCTCTTTAGGAGTTATCAGATGAACCACTGGGTTGCCGGGACTATCCAGTGGGTTCAGTGGTGGAATAGGTCTTGGCTTATTTTTAAGAATGTTGGTTAGTTTCCAAAAGGGCTTAGCACAATCTGGGAGAGAGCGGATACTGTTAGCAAAGTTCTGATTTCAGAGGTGCACCATCCTGGCTTGGATGGTTTTTGTTAGACGATTACAGTGGGTCTTAAGGACAGGAAGACCACCCAAGTAACCACCAAGCCCGCTAACTACCCGATAATCGCCTTTTTTGCGATATAAGTTAAATATAGGGTTTCCGAACATTATATCAGTCGTTTAGCAGCCTTATATACCAAAAAGGGCGATTAACGGCCTTGTTGGTTACTTGGGCAGAGCGTTGGTACTGCCTTCGGATGGTGTTACGGAGTCTTTTAAGGTCTTTGGTAGATCTTTCAAGGTTCAGAGTATTACTCACCTGTCTGGATACTGGCACGTGTTGCTCCCTGGTCCGGGAAATCGCTTCATCAATGGAGCGCAGACACCGGTCGATGTCGTCGGTCGTTTCCGGGTGGACTGCGACCATTCTACCCGATGATAGTTTCGCCGTGATGCTTGGAACTTGTTGATTGAGGAACCCACTTCAGCCACCACCGGATAGTGGTCCGAGCTGAGTTTCTGATACGCGACAGGTTGCGAAATGTTGTTGCCCATGTTGCTGATGTAGATATCGATGGTGGCGTGAGCACCGGATCTACTCAACCGGGTGGGAGTGTCCGGACTCAAGATGTTGTACTGCGCTTCCTGCAGCTCGTTATTCAGGATGCTAACGGTTTGATTGCGCCGACTGTTGACCCAAGCTTGATGTTTGGCATTCAGGTCGCCAGCGATGATGTATTTTTGCAGCCGCCGAGTCAGCTTAATGATATATCGTCGAAGGTCCGCTGCCGACCCATCCCTGTTGTTGACTTGTTTGGGGCAGTAAGCCGCAATGATGGTTATGGGGCCCAGCGATGTGCCAACTTCAACTCCGATGGCTTCGATATTTTGAGTGGAAAATACGGCAGCAGGTGGCAGCTGATGTTACGCCTCACAGCAATGGCTACTCCCCCTCCTCTTGCACTGGTTCTGTCGAGTCTCAAGATTCGAAAGTCCGATAGGTAAATGTTGACTTCCGGCCTTAGATGGGTTTCGGTGATGATGGCAATGTCGATCTCCTTGGCGTTAAGGAAGTCAAGTAGTTCGATATGCTTGTTCTTCAGCGAACAAGCATTCCAATTTGCAATCTTTATAACTTCACGGTCCATACTTAGTGACAAGGGGCAGGTCAGCATGTAACTCTGCCACGAGTGTCATAAGTTCCTCCGAGGTGTCGATGGACTCATCTCACACAGCACTGGCATACGATAAACCAGGGGCAGTGGAGGGACCTTGGTTTGGCTGGGCCGCTACAGCAGTGGGGCGATGCTGGGCTGATCGACTGGGGGTCGTTTGCTCTTTTGGAGAATACCCAGCGGGGGTGCTAAGGGCTCGTTGATTGTTGAGGGTAAGCGGTGCTAGGTTCGGGACCAGTCGTCGGGGCTGGATTGCGCATGATTATTGTGGTGTCGACCGGTCTGGTTGCCTGTTGCCGCCTTTTGGCGAATATTAATGAATTCCACTCGGTTGGGGCAGTCGCGAGTAGACGCACGGTGGTTTCCACCGCAGTTGGCACACTTTGGCTCGTTGTCATCAGCTTGACCACAGGACGCTATCGCGTGTGTACCTCCACACTTGTCACAGCGTGGCTTCATATGGCAATTTTTCGTGCGATGCACTGCGTTACATCACGGTGTTGAGGTCTGTACGACTGCCAAGAGATGATGACTTGGAACAGATCCCGGATGTTGTCCTTCAACCCGGCAAGTGTGGTGGAGCCCTTGATAAAGTGAACCAGGAATAGCTGGTCCCGGTAGCTGGTGTTCGGCAAGGGTCGCCGATTCATCGGATACACTGCTTCTGGTTGTAGCCCAAGCCGCTCCAGCTCAGCCTTCACAATGGCTGCTTCAAATGACGGTAAACCTCGCAAAAATACCTTCAGTGGCTTCAGCGATGGCAAATCATGCGTGTAAAAGTCCACCTTGTTGTCCTTCAGGAAACTACCGATAGCCTTGTACTCCTCCAGGCTGTAGCACATAATTTTTGTTCCGACGCTGCAGAGCTTAAACCGAGGCTGTAAGTTGTGATCTGTCAACACAGTCCTAAGCTGGTCGACATCCTTCATTGAAGTGAAGAGTGGGGGAATCCGCTCCTTTTTTGTGATGGCAACAGTGTCACCACCACCTCCATTATCTTTCTCGACCACTGAGAACTGGTTGCTTTGTAGCACACGGTTTTCAGCGTCGTTCATTTACGCTCCAGTCTGTGTTCGGGCCTTCTTCGTAGGGCCCCCTACTGCTGATGCGCTAGTACGCTGACGCACCATCTGGTTTTTGGCAAGTTGAACCAAACTTGCCAGAGCGTGTGACGATGACGGCACTTCCACGGCGCCAAACGAAAAAAACAACTCGAGAAGGACTGCGGAATCCGAACTGAACTGAATCAGCAGACGATCATTGAACCGAAGAATATATACTCACTGCAAATATATTGACTCTGACCACAACCGTGTTTCCTCCTTAGCCCCATTAAAATAATAAAAATGCAAAATAATAAAAATTTGTCGATTTTTTTGATTTCTTATGTGTAACTGTAATTTTAAATTTTACCGAATTTTCCAGTTATTGAAAAACTTTGCAAATGTTTACCGACTTCGGTGATCTGAAATCAGTGTGTGATTCGCTAGTGCACACTAAGATTTTGTTTCCGTGTTCGGTAAATTTTACCGAAATCAGAACAGCTGAACGTTCGGTAAAACTTTAACCTTTAAGCCTTTAAAGCTTTTGAATTTGAAAATAATTTGAAAACATGTTCAACCTTGTTTAAATGATCAAAGCTTGTCATTTTAGTAGAGATTTAGTTTCAAAGTAGCTGAAAAGCAATTGAATTGAATTGCATAAATTTTACCGAACAGTTCAGCTGTTCAGATTTCGGTAAAAATTACCGAAGTCGGCGATAATTTCTAAGTGTGTGCCTTTTTACAATGTGCTTTAAAATTCCGAATGATTATTTTATGGTTTAACTCGTCATAAGGGGGTCTGCTGCCGTCAGCACGTCACTAGTTTTGATTGCCACCGCTGTTGATTTCATTTCTACACGCGATACAATGAATCAGCTCGAAGAATTCAATGAAGACAAGTATCACTCTCTATCTATGTTTAAAAACCCTGTTTCAATTTATCAATTGCCAGCAAGACACATTCTGATGACGTGCATTCGACGAATCTAACCTACTTAATAATATTATCTCATTTCGCAGAAACTGTCAACTCAGCCGCAATTCACGAACGGCACGTTCAATGTTATCAGAAAATGCTGTCCACCTGGAGAAAGTTTTCTATTCAACGATAATAATCAGGCGGTACACTGCAAACCTTCGTCGCAGAACTCGATCCAAGTGCAGGCGATCATCGCACAGTTCTTCCAAGGGTGCATCGAAGATCTGGAAGAGGAGGCTCCTCCTTTGGGCGTGGTCTACGGGAATCCATGCGCCGTCGAGGATGGATTGATTCGGTTCAGTGCGAATGCGAACGACAGTTTGTACGTTCTTCAGAACGGATCGCTGCTGGTGGTTAACGAACTGGTCGAGGAGTATGATATCTTCACCACCTACTGCTTGGACGTGGACCGAACGGATGGGTTGCTGAATGGATACGTGTGTTCGTCGGAATTCCGGATCGGGCGGGACATCTTCAAGGGACAGATGATGGCACTGGCGCTGTGTTTAGCATTTGCCATTCCGTTGCTACTGGCGACGGCGTTCTTCTATGTGGCAATTCCAGAGTTTGATGACATCCATGGAAAGGCACTGTCGCTGAATTGCGTCAATTTTGCCATAGCGGTGCTACTGGAGTGTATTTTCCAACATAAGAGCCAGGGAAATGGTTCCACCGATGGTAGGTTCCATGTAGAATGGGGTGATATTCTGAGAATTGACCGAATTTGTTGAAAAATTTCAGATACCATTGTGCTGGCCAATTACACGGACTATTTCATTCTGGCTACGTTTTTCTGGTTGATGGTGAACTGTATGAACAACTGCATTCATGCTTGGTGTGTTTCTTGACAGATTTAGGCATAGATCTCGTGGTTAACCAATTTCTTTGTACAGGTACTTCTTACCGAATGGAATCCAGATTGAAAAGCGTGGCGAGAAACGAACCTTCGCTCTCTATACAGCCTTTGCCCAGTTGGTTCCGTTGGCTATCATCTTGTTAAACCCACCGAATAGTGGTAAGCTGTGATCAACCTGTAAGCATCCTATCAGACATTCTAATCACCCGGCAACTTCTAGATCCCACTGCATTGAAGCACTACTTCTTCCTTCCGATCATCGTGGTCATAGTGCTGAACATCATCAGCTTCTTTATCACTTTCTGGGGTTTCCAGCGGGTGAGTGACATCCAGATTCAGCATTTCTCCCTCCGTGGACGAATGAGCAATGGTGGTGAAGAGGCGAATGCCTTCCTAGCAAGGTTGCCCAACATCATAACGGCGGATGTCGAGAGGGTCAAGTACATGTAAGCTTAAATCAACCATCGAAAAAAAGTGTCTGTCGAGTCACACATTTTATTCCCCACAGGGCCAAATACACCGCCTTGCTGTTCATGGTCATGTCCGGTGTGTGGACCATTACGATTGCCACCTACTACAGCACCAGGACAATTCCCATCCTGTACGACATTCTGTTTGGGCTGCAGGGAATTCTAATTTTCATCATCTTCATCTGCCTGCCCAGACCTTTCCGCACGGTGAAGGCGTGGTTCGAGAAGAACAAACTCTGCGGCTGCCGGCAAGATCCGGACGCTATCGATCTGCGAAGGGACTTGGCTTCCTACCAGGTGAGCAGCAATGGGAACACCAAGGAAGGTGTCCCGTTGAATAATATCAGGACGTCGGAATGAGGAATAATTTCAGCTATATTATAATTTGGTTGCAATTTTTCTGTGTGGTTTGAATTTCAGTAGTTAGTTTATTTTTTAATCGTAGACAGTTGTACTAAAGTAAGATCATGAAACCAATTAATGTTAAGGTACACTCAAGTTGTGTTCAAAACAATTCAAGCAATATTGTGCTATCGATAGCAGTGCGTTAGTAGTAGGCTACGACTTTAGATACGTAAGCTCGGGTAGAATAAATTGTGCATCTGGAAGAGAAAGGCGTGTTTATTTACTACTGTGTAAATCCGATTCCGTGAAGTGAATTCTTAGTTGGTTCCTGTTACGGAGTATCACATCTGGCGACGAATGGGTGGAACCTACAATCCGTATTCCAAAACCATCAAATAAGTGCAACTGTGCATTCGATTCAACATCAATTTTGATAAATACAGTCAACTCTTCACAACTCGATATTCTATAATTCTGTCTGGATTCTGTCGATGCTCCTTTGGACGATGATCTATGTAGTGTTATTTTGATTCTATAACTCGATATGTCAAAGGTAGAGCTTCTGAAATCGAAGGAACTTTAAAAAGCATTATCGGACCCATCAACCACATCCTGGTGTTTCGGAGAAAGGGTCCGTACTTTTAATTTATACCAGGACCAGTGCACTGACGAATTGATATTTTTCCGCTTTCATACGCTCTCAATATCACGCGTGATGTTGGAGCAAAATGTCAAACTTGATATTGATTTTAAGAGCTCCTTTGATATTGCGAGACTATTCACAACGTTTAAAGTTGAAGCTGAGAGTTGAGTCGAAGCAAAAATGATATCGTTGCACATCGTTTTGTTAGCAAGAGAAGGTATAATAATTCTATCTCTTTTTTTCTCTTCACCGATGGCAGATACGAAGCGACTGCTGTCTTCCGTAATGGCAGTTTCGGTTGCGTTCAGGTGTAAATCAAAAATCATGAAGCTCACTTTCACCACAGTTTGGTGAGATTTGCAGCTGATGAGTTTTGATATCTTGATATTCCGAGCTGCGATATCACCGCCTGCAATATCAACCCTTAGCTCAGTCGGTAAAGGCACAGCTACAAAGCAAGACCATGCTGGAGGTGGCTGGGTTCGATTCCCGGTCCGGTCTAGGATTTTTTCGGGTTGGAAAATTTCTCGACTTCCCTGGGCATAGAGTATGATTGTACTTGCCACACAATTATACTAATGCAAAAATGGTACAGGCATCGGGAGCTCTCAATTAATAACTGTGGAAGTGCATCTAGAACACTAAGTTGAGAGCACGCAATAAGCTAATATGCCATACGCAATAAGCTTGAAATGCGAGGAAGAAGAAGAAGAATATCAACCGCAGTTGTTTGCATTTTAATTTTTGTGTACGACGCGTGACCTTGATCTTTGGTGAGATTTGATTTTTTGATATTTTCCCAACACTGACCACTTGAAAAAGAGAATAACCGGAAATAGAAGGATAAATAAGGCTGTCAAATTTTGGACTCCAAAAGTCAAAAATTACTCCGTCTCATGTCAGGAAAAAGAATAAAGAACTAAATTCCAGAAATTCAGGATGTCATGAAAAAAAAACCTGGAAAACCGGGAATTATCAGGGTATTTCATCATTACTTAAGGAATTTTCACATTCGCATACTTGAGGATTTTTCCAGGAACATAATACATGTTATTATGCAATCATTTAATTTTCCTCGATGTTTCATTTCACCCAATGAACTTAATAAATCCTGACCGGGTTTATCGTCAGTAAGTACATATTTTTAATTTAATTCAGAGGCTTGAATTAATCATATCGTCGGGCCATTTTCCACATAGATGCCGCTGTGTCGTTGGTTGGAAGTAATAAGTAATATTCAGGTCAGCGCCAAAGAAATCATGAATGGACTTTGTCAGTAACTTATTTCCCGGAAATTATTGTTAGACAAGTTACAACAACAAAATAAAATAAAGTTTTCCCCATACAGTTTTACCAACAATCAATACGAAACTATCGATTTGAAATTGACTCACTACTTGACTAGCCTATTGGTCCCAAGCAAATCGATTAACGTACCCCATTCTAGTCGAAATTCTAGTACTACACAATGTTTGTTTTGATTCGCTATGACAATTTGACAGATAAAATGAGGGGTTAGTGGAATTTCCTATGTTTCGAGGGGTGAATCGATTAGCTTGGGACCGAAGATAGTACCAGAGCTGAGCCAAAAAGTAGAGCTCAATGTCTCAATATGCCATGTATTTTCATGACACATGATTTTCCTCTCATTAAGACTGGAACGCGCAAAAATTGGTCGACAAAAAATCGTTTCTTTCAGTCAAAATTCATATCACAAAAATCTTCTTATTTTTCTTTTGGTAGTTCAATTCATATATTTAAAGGAAAAAATGTTCGTTAATTCTTTTGGTTTGCCAAATCCAAACTGCCGTGCCTTCCGCTTAACCCCTTCCATTAAATTTTGCACAGTGGTCTCATCGACCTTATTTGCCGCCAAACACCAGTTAGATTTAAACTGCTGCTCGTTTTCCATGGATTTATTAGTTTTTTTTTTAGATTCCGCTTGACCAAGGCCCAATACCGTTCGATACGGCGGAGTTCTGGGCTGTTGGGAAAGTTGTGGTCTTTGGGTACCACAACCACAACTGGCCAGAACAGCACCGGTCTATTATGTTGCTTTAGGAATGGTAGCAGCCGCTTTTCCAGGCACTCCTGGATGTAGATCTCTTGATTGATGGTTCCCGTAGTAATGAAAATGCCGCTTTTAAGACCACAATATGGCCTGCCAGACGAGATTTTTTTTCGGGAACTTCGATAGTTTGATGGTTTTAAAAATTTCAGCCACCTACCCTTTTCCTGATGCGGTATAAAACTCCTGTCCCGGAAGCTGCTTGAAATCCGCCTTCACATAGCTTTCGTCGTCCATGATGACACAGTCGAACTTTGTGAGCAGATTCGTATACAGCTTTCAGGACCGCTGCTTTGCCGACGTGTTTTGTTTGTAATCTCGGTTCGCCACCTTCACCTTCTTAAACGTCGACAACCCGGCTCGTTTCTTGGCCCACTGCACAGTATTATGGGAGACATTGAGCTTGCCAGCGACGTCTCAGATGGAGAGGGTAGGATTCAGCTTATATTTCACCGCCACCATCTTCGTCGTCGCTGCCACGTCCGGATTACGATTGCCGCCGCTTCCAGGCTTGCTGGTGGTCGACAGGCGCTCCCCGAACACTTTTAAAACGTTTGTCACGGACGATTTGGCCACATCCAGCAATTTTGCTAACTTGGCGTGTGAGAATGTCGGATTCTCTTGCTGCGCGAGCAAAATTTTGACACGCAGCTCCTCTTGGTTGGACGTCATTTTGAAAACTGTAGAGCAAACGGTGAAGAATCATCATAGCAACCATATATATATATATACACTCAACAAGCAAAGTCTCAGATCAAATTGAAATCGAAATTTGATGTTGTGATTTCGCTAATAATGATTGCTCAGGTTGCTGTCGTTTTGGTCGTTTTAACGGTTAAAATATCAAAATTGAGAGCAAAGCAATCTTCCTGTGACATCACATTGAAAACTTTTTCTGCTATCAGTGAGAGCAAACTGAAAACTCAATTTGATATCAATTTTTCCTGTTGATAACAAAACAAGTATTCAATTTGAGGTTATGCTAAGGCAATTAAAACAAACCCGTCACAACATATTTTTAAAGAGCAAATGTACAGCAAAATGAAAACAAAATTTGGAATCAAATTTTCAATGTGTAAACTGAAATCAAATTATGATTTCAGTTTGATGTTGCAATTAATTGCAATAGCAATTAATTGCTATTCTAATAGGCAAGCATCCCGAGCAAAGTCCAGCATCAAAATGACAGCAAATTATGTCTGTTGAGCCCATATGAATAATATTGATATGCTCTCGATAGGTTTTTAGTGACGAATATTTTCTAACGCATCCGGTAAACACGCAGGTATAACCGCTTATACTATCATGATATCTTCTTAAATGACGGAATTATTGTTCCTGTGACGGCGCCTGCCACAGACAATTTGAAATTGGACAAACAATCATTTCAAATATTTTCAGAAATGGTGGCTCCTATTGGCATAACCTTAGACTGATTATCGGCTTCAAGCGGAAATTCATACAAAAAATGACCATTCAAATTCCAAGCGCCGGCTGATTCTCGCGAATACGGTATACCATATGCTTTGTAAATTTTAAAGCAAACATCCAAGGCCTTCAAAAACGTTGGAAGTTGATAGAATACACCACCGTTATGCACCAGAAATACACTCGTCTCGTTAAAATTCTCAGCCACGACTATCACTAAAGGTGAAGGCGCTATTCCCTTAGTCCGGTAGCGTGAATTTAACTCTTCGATTTGCGTCTTAAGCGCACTGAAGGATTTCATCCACATCACAAAGCTGTCAAGATCCTGTTTTGCACTAATTTTAACACTGAAATCCAGCTGTATCAACTGATATCCTTCGGAATTGCAGAGGGCAGGAAACAGCTCAATGATTTTCTCGCAAGTCAAATTCTCAATTTTTGAAACTTCCCACAATCGCAATCTGCTAAATAAAAAAACAAACCGCTGTCAAGTCGAACACTTTGACATCTGATTTCGTGGTTGAAAATAATAAACAAATCGATTTTACACGGCTACGCTAGCTAGGTTGTATTAGTGAGATCTTGCGTCGAGAAGTCAATAGTGCGTCCTTCCCAATGAGGTACAGAGAGAGGTGTCGCAGATCGTGAAATAGGGTTGTATTAGTAAACCAAAAAATCAACGTAAACGCAAGTAGTGACGTCACTACTTGCGTGTACTTGCGTGTATCGTACAGTGGTTGTGTGAGTGATTGCTTCACCTCGGTAATCCAGCTCATTGCGTCCTTCCAACGTCCATCCAGAGACATCCAGCTCGAATGACCATAATATTGGGGCCTTGTCCATCCAACCCACAACATCGAAGGGGGGTAAAATGCCTGGGGTAAAAGTGGATCCAAATAACGATCTATAGCATTATATACACACTTAGAAATACCTAATCTTACATGTGACGGAATCTATCTTTGACATAAAGGATGAGACGTAAACAAACATGTCATGTAAAATTAAGTGCTCCGAAACTGAAAAGTTCGAAAGCACGTTTGATTGAGCTGAATTTTGCGTCTTTATGACTCAATTTTATGTCAAAATTGACGCTCGTATATGTCAGCCTCAGAGCACCTAAGTTTACATTCATTTTTCTAAGTGTGTACACACTACGAAAAAGACATGTAAATTTAGGTCCCCCTAGACCGACACATGCAAGCGGTCCTTTTGATATAAGAATCAGTTGAAAAGGACGAGAAAATCAATTCAATCAAACGCACTTTTCGTCGAGTTGCATATGTTTCAGTTTCAGTACACTTAATTTTACACGCCATGTTTGTTTACGTTCCATGATTTACGTCAAAACTGAATTACGTCTCGTGTAAAAATAATAATTTCTAAGTGTGTACACACTTAGAAAAAATCATGTTACTTTAGGTGCTCTAAGAGTGACATATACGAGCGTCAATTTTGACATAAATTTGAGTCATAACAGACGCAAAATATAGCTTAATCAAACGTACTTTTCGTCAAGCAACGAACTTTTCGGTCTCGGAGCACTTAATTTTTCATGACATCTTTTATGTCAAAGGTGGATTCCGTCACGTGTAAAATTAGATATTTCTAGGTGTCAACCCGGTCAACCCGCAATGATGAATCAATGACGTCATCGATCTCTCCAAACCAACGATGATGTGTGTTGTCCTTGGGTGGGTATTGGTGCTACAGTGCTGCTCCCGAACACTACACGGCATATCACTTGATAATGTATGAAAAAAATGGTCATATTGAGTGCTTGAAGAGCCACATCGGTAGGGTTACCATATCAAAAACTTGAAAAGGAGGACATTTCATTTGAGGTTTGGAGACTAAGGACGACAATGATTCCTTTTCTTAACATTAAATGAGGACAATGAGTTTTTATCAAACGTTTTAATAATATGTGCGCTATCACTAAATTCTCGCGTAACATTTGAAAAGAGCCTATCCTCGTTAGTCGACTTTCTTTATCGACTTTCTCTTTGGTTTATCAAGGCAACATAAACGAATTTCTCGCTAATCTCGCAGCACAGTTCGACAGAAGATGATGTTAGCTTGCGCCTGAAACAACACACTGAATGGGAAATTCATTTGCAGTCGGGTTATTCTTGAAAGCGAAAATCTATGAAGAGAATCGATCAACAATGATAGGCCCTTTTAAATGTGTTGCGCGAGAATTCATGACTTGCAAAGGTTCAATTGAGATTGTTCATAACTTGTAGTCGTTACCAATTCAATTCATCTTTTGATTTTCAATTGATTCAGCATTGGACTCTAAGGCCGCTGCCATAGTGGGAGCGAAAAGGCGCGATTAGCCTCTTCGGTATCAGGTCTCAGTATAGCAGCGGCCTAAACAAAATACCTAAAATCCCATAGAACCAGAACGTCCAAATCGAACACATGGTGCCGTCAATCACATTCAATCCGTGTGGCGGTGTTCCATTTGGTGAATTTTAACTTAAATTTGACAGATAGAAAATTTTCAAATAAACCTGCTATTGTACCAAACTTATTTCTGGCAAACCAGGAAGCAATTTTGACAAACACCTTTTCGAAAATCACACGATCAACAACAGAGAGATTTTCGAACAATATAATTTATTTTCGAAATATCCAATTTTAGTGAAATAAATTATAATGTTCGAAAATCCCTCTGTTGTTTTCTGATTTTCGAGAAATTGTTTGTCGAGATTGATTCCTGGTTTGTCTGAAATAAGTCTGGTAGAATAGCAGGTTTATTTGAAAATTTTCCATCTGTCAAATATAAGTTAAAATTCACCAAATGAATCACAGCCTACAAATGTAGGGGGGTTGACAGCTGTAGTATACTCCTAGTACCACCATCGAATGGAATTTGCTAGATAAGATGAGGTTGAGACATAATTAAACAAATAAGCTCTGCAAACAACGCTCTTTGAAAACAATTTTATGATTATGTTACTGGAAAAAATGCAAGGATTAAAAAAGAGGACATTTTCGGGCAAAAGGAGGATGTAGAAAAGTTATTGGAAAAGGAGGGCATGTCCTCCTTTGAGATACCATATGGTAACTCAACACATCGGTTACACCTGGCGCCATTGCAGAAGTGAACAGGATCCGAATTATAATCCGGAGTATAAAAGGTCTCACTTTGACGTCCTTGGAAAAAGAGTCTATCCGACGCTTACGGAAGTTCTTTCGCATCCTTTCGATTCAAACGCCGAGCACATCCCTTTCGCATAACATTCTTGCAAATGCACTTTATTTCGTTGAAATGGATTATCTGTTTCAGGAAGGTAGTGAAAGAAGTGTCAACTGCTATTGATGTATTCTAGCTATGTATGTTTCGGCCGCTGCTGAATTTGAATATGTGGTATTTTGCTTTGCGTAATTGAGTTTTTAAAGTGCAAGTCAAAAACGTAGAACAAGTACGATTGTATTTATTTAAATGTATTTATTTCTGGAACGAACAAATTCAACAAAAGTGTCATTTTCACTTACAGTAAACAAATGATTCTCCTACATGAGAATGCTATTTGGATGGGGAAATAATAATAGGAAAGTCTAAGGCGCTGTACACACGGTGCAGGTAGAATGCATCGCGTTAACAGCGTTTCGTAGGTGGTCTAGAAATTAAAACTAAATGCTTAACGAAACAACAACCAACAGATGTGTCTATAAATTGGTTCTTTCCCGGATCCTTCCGGGGTTACTTTTTTAAACCATATTTTGGCATTTTGTTTGGGGCTTCCAAGGGTATAGATAGTACAGGTGTGTTTTTTGATATTTGGTATTTAAGTTATGTATGCCAAAAACCTTATAACTGAAAACAAGTGCTATTTTTTTGTATTCCTAAAACAGCGTAGTATTAATATACCGCTGGCTATAATTATAGTGATTTTAGCGATTGCACACACCTCACCTAAATTTGTTTATGGCTTCCCACGTTCTGGGAATCTACTAAGATAAATTTTACGCTCGCTAAGTTTCGTTCCGAATATCCTTGGATGGGTGCTCTAGAATCACGCTCTAAGGCCTCACTTGTTGGGTAGTTAGCTCCCGAAAATACGGGAACCGACAGACAGGTGAAAGACCCTCATTTGAAATTTTATAGCAACTAATTTTAGTGACTAATCGATTATCACACTCGGGTGCGCCAGGCGAGAAGCTGGTTGGTTTAAGCTTTTTCTTTCTTACATCGGTCTAGGGTGCTGAAAACTTGCAACGGTAGCGGGTAAACTAGCCCTTCGATGGCGCTGTCCGGATCAATCAATGTCATCGAATGACGGCGATGGGCAGCGTTTCTCCACGTCGAAGGTGTTGCTGATGCCCACCAGCCCTGTCACTCCGCGGGATCCGGTGCTTTGGAAGTACAGCAGCTGGTAGCGGACACCCTGCGGAAGGTTGACGTTCTCCGAGAAGGTCAACTTCTCGGTTCGGGTATTCTTCTGGTGCTGCTGCTGTTGTTCGTTCATCTGGTGTTGCTTGTCCTTATAGGTTTCGGTATACTCGTACGCAAGGTATTCACTTAGGCTGGTAAAGTCCTCCTATAATTGGTGAGATATTGATTGAGAAGTAATTTTTTGAGGGACACACTCAGTCAATCTTACCCGATAGATGCCGATCCAATCGGCATTGCCCTCATCGAACCCACACGGAATGGTGTACTCGATCTGGTTCGGTTCACCCACCAGCCACAGTTCGATTGGCTTGAACATGACTGTCCTCTCTGTCGTATCCTCGTACACCTGTCCGGCATCAACCAAATCGGAAATCAAATCATCAAACGAGTTCAACCTAGCGTAGGACTCGGTACCGTTGGCGATGGCCATCCGGTAGCTGAGCCGCTGGTAGTGGTTGGTCTTGAACCGTTCACCACTGTACTGAGGCTTACGGATCACCTGTAGTAGTAGTAGTAGTAGCCCAGCCAACCAGTGTGCATCCGAAGTTGATAAAGTTATTGACGCCCATTTCCAGAAAACCCATCATCCATCATCACCATCATCATCGTCAGTTGCGATTTTAAAACAGTGCAGATAGCATCGGGTGCAGTGGTCAGTTCGAACGTTGACGCCACAGAGAAGGGTTAGTAAAATATACACAATAAAAATGAGCAATAAACGGACAAACTAAACAACTATAACTTATCGATACACTAAATTGAACGAAAATGGAACTGAAGCGATACAAAATGAAGAATAATCAGAAAAGCGTTATGAAAGTTGTTGCATAATTTAGCGAAACAGTTTTACGAAGGAGAGGGAAGAGAGCTTACAGAAGAACCGAAAGCACTCACCCGGCTACCACTTCGGGAGTAAGTTCTCAATAGCGGCGGTCTGCGCTTGGTGGTTCGCTCCTTACGGTAGTAGGTCCGACAGTAGTCGTCTTTTACCTTGAAGCGGCACTGAGTATTGGTGAATGCGTTTTAGAGTAATGTTAGAGAGTTAAAAATATTAGGACGGACCGTTGGTTACAGAGACTTCAGTAGGTGATGTTTCCATATCTCAACACCAAAAGGAACTGTCCAAATCATGAAGATACTGAGACATGTTGATATATGGGGAATTGCATGTATTTAGATTTCAATGTTCATTGTTCTAAAGATTTCTAAAAATTCTCTGAAATTTCCTCGAGTAAATCCTGGAAGTTTGTACTTTACCCCTTAAAACCAGCACAGGCCACACTTGTGACAAAATGTTCAATTTTCTAAAACAAATAGAGAATTTAGTAGACTTTAGCTTAGGGTGGGAGGAGCTAAGACAGTTTATTTATTTATAAATGAATAAAGGATGTACATGTCAATCTAAAGCAAATTACCCTAATGTACCCCTAGTAGCACGCTTGTCACAAATCAATAGTAGACGCATTTCACGCCAAATCGAATCGAAGCTGGCAGCACCCTCTCAGATATCAATAAAATTTTCTGGATGTGTAGACTTTGACTAAATAAGCACTTTTGCATACTCAGTTTTTCACATTTTTGTTCATATCTTCGGAACCATAATTCCGTTCGGGAAAAAAAAGTCAATAGCAATCTATGGGGATCTAAAACACATCTTCTGGAACTTGTTCCACTCAAATTGATCCAGCCATCTCTGCGTAAATTGAGTGAGCTACACTTATACGAACATACATACATACACACTTAGAAATGATTACCGACTTCGGTAATTTTTTCCCAAGTTTCAACAGCTGAACAACAAAGGTAAAAATCAGGCATTTGAATTCATTACTTTAAAGCTTCAAAACAAGGAAAACTTCACCGCAACGGCAAGACTCGATTATTTAAATAAGGCTGACAGTGTTTTGAAAACAAAATTTAGTGAAAAGCTTCTGAAATGAAGATCGGAGTTTTACCGAAGGGTCAGCTGTTGAAAGTTCGAATTTAAAAAAAATACCGGTAGACTGTGTATGTTTATGTTATATCAATGTTTAATGTTAGTAGCAGTCTTTATAAATTGTAATATTTTTTAGTTTACCCTTGAAAAAGGCCACAATAAACGGCCGAAACGTCGGGAAATGCAAAACTAACTGTATGGATTACCCTAGACTAAGAAAGCCATATTAAAGAAGTCGCTAATAATTTCTAAGTGTGTACATTAGACTGATGCAAATTTTGACATTTTTGCTCCACAGTGCTCAAACGATTCCAAATCGGGTCCTGATAAGTCTCCCAAAATTTGAGCTCACTCGATAATAAACTGACTTGGCACAAACCATTTGAAGTTTATATGGAAATTACTATAGGAAAACCAAATATTTTGTTCATATCCATCTAACAATTTACCGTATCGCTCTGCTTTAAAAATGATAACTGAGCTCGTAGAAAATTTTCTCAGCTACATCTTTGTCCTTAACCACTTTTCAATATAATGTAAGCATCAAAAGTTATCAATAATTCAAGCCACTAATGTCTTACGATTATGCTCAATCAACTGTTCAGCAGGCAACATTGGTGTTTCTGGCGCTTGGAATAGAGCACAAAAATCATGGCTACTATGTCACACTGCAAGATACAGTGTTGCTCACAAAACAGCTGCTTGATCATGTCATAAGATTATCAATCTCTTAAACAATTAATAACTATTTTATTTGACGTTTGGCTCAACAACTATATTCTGCTAAGTTGAAGCTGAGAAAATTTTCCATAAGTATAGCTTTTGAATTTTTGAACAGTGCAATCGGGAAAAAGATAAGAAGACAATAAACAAAAATGTTTGATTTCCCATAGTAATTTCCATATAAACTTCAAATGGTTTGTGCCAAGTCAGTTTCTTTGCAAATGAGTTCAACTTTTGGGAGACTAATCAGGACCCGATTTGGAACCGTATGAGCACTGTGGAGCGAAAATGTCAAAATTTGCATCAGTCTAGTGTACATACATACATATATACACACATACAGAAACATTTTCCGATCCCGTTGAGATGAGTCTATTGGTATATGCCATTCGAAAGGCAAAAAGGAAGGTATCAGCTAATTGTGTTGCAACAGTGTAAATTTTAAACGCCAATTCATCGTACTAGGCTTCGTTGTACAGTACTCTCCATTTCTCGATGATCTTTATTTCGATATTCCTTTCTATCTAAATCGTTTCAGCAACCCTGATCCTGATTTGTCAACACTTTTTGAGCACGGAGAGTTTAGAATCGTATTAATAAGCTTATAAACTGCTCTTTTTATTGTATATTTCTCCATATTTAGGTGGCCGAAAGTTAAATCTCTCACTAAGGTGTGCTCGTTCCCCGCTTCTGGCGTGCAAAATGACCAGTTCTAAGGCTCTGAACCATTTGGCGGATTGTTTTAACTTTTGGTAAAAATTTGACAGATGGAAAGTTATCGATTGACCTTGCTATCCGAGCATGGTTATTTCTGACACACAAGAAGTTAGATTTTGACAACCATGGCTGAGTTTTGCTCGAAAATCAGTCGATTGATAACACAAGGATTTACGAACAAAGAAAATAACTTTCGAAATGTCACTTTTAACCACGAGTTAGATTTAACTCGACAATTGGTTCACAGCCTAAGTAACTAACGGATTTCTACACTACATGGCATATAAAATCGACTCAAATTTAAGTTTAAATTACTCAAACTGTAGCAAACGTAAATAACTTTCGGAGCCTCATAAATCTTTTCCAATATGACAAAAAATCGACGAAAAATCTACTCATTCTAGAAGTATATACTCAAAGAATAAATCACATATCCATTGGAAAATATTCATTAGAATTTCACATAACTTTCATTTGATATCATAATTAGGAATTGCACCACAAAATCACATGAAATTTAAGTGATTTATCATATAAAACTCATGTGATCACATGAATGTTATGTGAAATTCTGATAGATATCATTGGTTTTGTTAATGGAAAAGTGTGCATTCCCAATGGAAACTACATGAAAGCTTTTTTCCGTGTACTGATTTCATATGTACATCGAGATGTTGGTCCTGTAATTCCTGTAAAATCTCGGAAAGTTTGACTCAGTCTATGAGTTATCAAGAACATGGGTGGACTAATCTCAACTTTGAGTCGACCTCACATTTGGCGTGTAATCGTAATTTATCTTTTTATTGCTTTTAACGTTAATTCGTTAAAAACATTTCTGTTTTGCTCGAACATGACTTATACTGACATTTCAAATTTCGCATCTATTTCATGATTTTTGCCACGTGGGATTGATCGGAAGATCCAGAATATCCGTAACAGTAATCAATTCATGAAACTAGGTTCTAACCGGTGTCCGGCCATTCGGCAGAATGCCGTTTGGTCAAACGCCATTTGATCGAATGCAATTTGGCCGAATATTTTAAAAGATATTTTCAATTTTTGAATATAGACTGTTCCAGAAAGTATAAGCACAGTTTCAAAATAACAATAAATTCATGTTTTTTTTAGTTTTAATAATTTTATTTGGCAAATCATATTTGTATTTGTATTTCAAATTATATTTTACTCTCGTTTAATCAACATATTTAATCATAGCCAAGACTCCTAACTTTTCCTCGAACATGACCCATTACCTTCTGCACAGTGGTACTTCCCACCATTTTTTGACCACTTTTGGCCAATCTTTTTTGAATTTTTGGATGTCGTCCGCTGGTTTTATTAATTTTCGAAGCTTTGCTTTGGTTAAAGCCCAAAAAGTCTCGATTGGCCGTGCCTTCGGGCAGTTCGGCGGATTCATGTCTTTCGGCACGAAACATACATTTTGACTTTTGTACCATTCTAAAGTGTCTTTTGCGTAATGACATGACGCCAAATCAGGCCAAAATACTACTTGACCTTCGTGCTGCCTGATCATCGACAATAATCGCTTCTGGAGACATTCCTTAACGTATTTCTGAGTGTTCATCGTCTCCGTTGTGATGTACGGACTAGATGTTTTACCACACTCGCATATTGCCTGCCAAACCATAACCTTCTTACCGAATTTTTCGGTAAAAATGGCCTTCTCCGTTTCGGGGATGTCCTTGCCTTCGCTTACAGTATAGAATTGTGGTCCGGGAAGCGTTTTGTAATCTAGTTTCACGTACGATTCGTCGTCCATTATTATACACCCAGAATTTTGACACAATAACGAATCGTAGAGTTTGCGGGCCCGTGGTTTCACGGACGCGGCCTGTTTTGGGTTCCTTTTGGGTTTTTTTCTGCTTCTGGTATGTTTTTAGTCCAGTTCTTTCTTTGGCACGCATGACGTTACTCGACGAGGTCCCTAGTTTTTTCGCAACATCCCGAACGGAAGTCGCTGGTTTTCGTTTGTAGGCATCCCTGATCTTTTTATCGATATCCGGACTTACAGGACCGGATTTCCGGCCACTCTTCGGCGCATCTTCAAACGTACACTGTTCTCTACATTTTTTTAATCGCAGTTCGTACCGCTCCGACGCTTA